AAGAAAAATACAACATTAATATTATGTCTCCGAAACTACACGACAGCGTTGTGTCAACTATAAGGTCGACGCTACTAGCATTATTTTGAATGTATCTTAGATTATTAAAAAGCACTACTGCAAACGTTGCTTTTTTTTTTTTGTACTATTTGTAAAATCAATAAACCTAACATTTACTCATACTCTTAACGTGCAAAACATCCTGCAAATTTTCATGAATCTAAGCCAATTTTTTTACCAGCCTAATATTTTTTTTTTTTATTATTCAAAACGTTTGTGTAACGACACACGACACCGATGTTTTCAAAGGTCCTTCAGAGAACACGTGACAGAAATCCGGGTTACAATTTCCCTAGATAATCGGTATTTGGCAACGGGACGACCATTAAACGTGACTTGGCCGGTCCTTTACATTATATTTATATATATATACATACCGACGTACATTAAATGTATGTTTTACTAGTTACAATAAATTATGAGAATTAGCTTATCCCGGTAAATACGACTGCAAACGTAAAGTCGCAGTTTCCGATCATTACTCATTAGTTTTGAAACAACCCGAGACATGCGACGTAAAGCCATTTCGGGTGGCAAACCAATTTATTGTAACCATTGACCCGTTTTACTGTTATGGCAGCTTAAACGATCGAGTCTCAGACAATATCCTCAGAACATTTTTTTTTTTTTTTCGAAAAGTTACAATGCAGCATAGTAAAGACATATTTAGATCAATAAAATTATTCAGCAGAAATTTGTTAACGTGAACATTAACAAGTTGATAATAATGAACTTTATTGCGTAAAAAAAATCAAGTATGATTTTAAAATAGTCTTATTTTTTAAAACTTTGGAATTGCATGAACCATTCACATAACTATACACATACATAATCGATTGATGTATAATTGAACCACATATTTGATAAACAGCGAAAACCTAAATAAGATAACAGAAAAGAGATTGTAAAAAACTATTTTTAAGCAACTAATAACATATTGCGATGAAACTTAGTGTGTATAAGATAAATACATGATAATATACACAAAGTAAATAACAAAAATAAAACCTATTTGTCCTGAATGGGCGTATTAGCAAGTTTTAGACTAACGTCGTTTTTACAATAAAGGATTCCTAGTGGTATACAAATGCACGGGGTCAATTGATAAAAGATCGCACTAAGATTTTTGATCAAAAATCAGAATTTTTTAAATTAAAAAAATTAATGATTCACCGATAAAATATTCTTGATTTCATTTTAGAAAAGTAAATATTATTATGCTTATTTGACGTTATAACGATATATAATAGATAACAATATTTCTTAAATGTCATCTGGTATATTGCACACGAAATCTCATTATGGTAAATGTGGCGTGTCTTGTGTATATCAAAAGTGGTTCAATTGATACATTTAAAATACTTAAAAACATAATTACATATATCAGTGATAAGAACTTAAGAATACAGATCAAAATTTTTCAATTAATACATTACTGGATTTCTTCAGAGAGAAAATTTATTAAGTTATTAAGGTTCACCAAATTCATTGTATGATGCTAAAAAAAGTATTTAAATATTAATTTTATTTTGGAAAGATAAATTTCACGGAAAAACTTGGTAAAATTAACAAAAATATGAAGAAATTTTATATTATGTGACTTATTAGACATGATTAAAAGTGTATACTCTTTAAAAAAAATAGATATATATTTTTTTAATACTATCTAAACGCGATGCGATTGCGATTATAGTCATACAAAATAATAAACATCTTATCTTTTCGACTGACTTCTTATATTTACATTTAGTCATAGTATAAAGTATTACTTCAATAGATGTAATTTAACATAATCGCACTTAAAACTATTTTTCACGACACAATGTAAGAGTATCAGGCGCAATTGTTAACTACCGAAGTATAAATATTTTTATGTTGGTAATAAAAAAATATATACATATATAAGTTAAAGCCATAATGGTATAAGTTATAATATTGTTGTACACATTATATCAAACTATATTTTACAAACTTTAAAAGCTGGGAATTTAGTTTTTTTACTGAAAAAATCTAGTTTAAACATAATAAAAGTTTTGATATTTTTAATAACCTGAATTTTCTAAAAAGCAGCTGAAACTCAAAGAGTCCAGTGAGCTGTATGGTTAACTAGACTACTATCTATAATAGTAGAGACATTCAATAATTTCTCCGATTTCAATTTTACTAAAATTAATTAACCATATTTTAAAATTATTGGGAACATTAGTCATTATTCTAGAATATTATAAAATAATGTGTATAGTTATCATAAATTTCATTCATGAAATATTTAACTTTGTTTAAGACTTATTATTACTTATTATTTTACAGTTATTTATTATTATTATCAAATTATATATGAAACAGAATTTTTCTAATTACATAATAAAATAGTAGTTTATCAATTAATTAATTATAAACATTAAATTATTACAACCTAATATTTATATATATATATATTTTTTAATGTCAGGTCAACGTCGGTTTTTTATATGCACGTATTGTGTTTTTAAATGCCAAAAAACAAGTATAGTCAAAAAAATATACGAACGAAAAGGCATTCTCTTGTGTTTAAATTCTATTTTACGCGTGAATATAACGATAAGGCAATCTGACATGGGTCTTGTGCCATTGGCTTTTGTTTCCTATTGTGTTAGAAAAAAATGAACGTGTGTTGAATCTTAATTAAAATTAAAATTAATATTTAGCTAGCGACAAATGAACAAAAAATCTAAAATAATTATCATTAAGAGTTGAAGATACACCAAACATACAAGTATATTAATTTAAAAAACAATAATTCGAAGAGCTTGGGTAACTAGGTAAAAGAAATAAATATTTTTGTTAGTAACGCTTTTTATTATATCTCCTAAGGTTTCATATGTTGAGATAGAGTTAATTTATTATATAATAAAAATTGATCACTTGTGGCTAATTAATTAAGTAAAATTAAAACTATATTTAAAATAATAATATTTTTAATATAGTTTTAATTTTACTTAATTTATTATTGTATAAACTAAGTAGATGACTTTCAATTTTAACAAATTATGTGCATTATGTTTATAAATAACGTTTTGGGTGATTCTTGTGTAGAATTTTATACAAGGTATACCAAAGAACAATAATGATTAAAAAACCAACTAGTGTTAAGAAAACTGTTGGAAAAAACAGCTATTACAGAAAAAAAAAAAGTTAACCACCACTAATCTGTATAGTCTTTGAAAAAACACATGAATCTAGGTCAATGACGTTAAAGAATTAAGGTTATTTGCATTTTTATTATTGCTGAGTCTATAGAAGTTTAAATGAAAATAATCTTAAAAAATATTCAAAATAAATGTTCTTATTCGTATTTATTTTTCTCCTTAGTAAACATCAGAGAGTTGGCGGCATGTTTCAATTAATGAAAATTATTGAAGGTTTATTTTAATAATTCGTTAATTTTTCATAGATATCTTAATAACCAAAGTATGGCCTGAAAGATTGAAAGTATATTTTAAGGTCTATAACAATGGTTTAATTAATTTAAGTAATAACTTAAAATTCAGTTACTTACAATTTCTTATACTATTTCTTACAATATTTATTAATTAACTTTAAAAAATTCTTTTTGACAATCCATCTAGTCGTTACTATACACTACTAAAAAAAAACTGAATAAAAATTTATTTTCAAGTAAAAAACTTAAAAAACAACCAATTAGAGTCGCATTGTTTTCTAAATACATTTTTTTTTTATTCTATAACCAAACATAAACGCTTTTTGGTTGAAGATAAAAGCATATGTTCATTCATTAATTATTTCATGATGCCTTTAATTTTCATATTTATATTTATGGAATATAAAACTCATAGTAATTAAAAGATATAATATTGAAAAATGTATAATAGGCAATTTTTAGCAGTATTAGTATTAGTGATTCATTTATTATTAATAGGATCAATGTTAATACTAAAAAAAAATGCATCAATTAACATTTAAATATATTTTCCTAATATCATATTATATAATTTATGACGTTATCTAAAACAATAAGTTTTTAATATTGTTCACTAAATCTAGATTAAATACTGTAACCAATAACAACACAAACACAACAAATTCATTAATAAAGAAAATAAAATCTGTAATCAACTCAGATAAAATAATCCGCAACAACTAATCAAAAAATAATAAATACTTAATATGTGAAATAATTTTGGCGCATTCTAAATCATATTTAAGTACTTTGACTATACCATAGATTTAATATATCAAATAAATTGTTGATTTGAATATATTCAAGCTTAATTACTTTTCAATCATTTTAACATCATTACAAATATATACACATTTATTATTCGAAATTTCGATATTCCTTTTGTTAAAACTGAATAGCCTAAACTTATTAATAAATGCATTTAAATAATACAGTTCTGTTATAATAATACATAAGTTTTTATTATATACACAGAAAATTAATAAGATGGGTTAGTACTGAATATCTGATGAATATTTATTTAGTCTATATGGCGTATTATTTTCTAATAAAAGCAAGAACGAATAAATTTGAAAATGTGCGTGTTTTTATACAAAATTGATAAAATTAAATGTTGGTAACTACAGAAACAATATTACTAGGCAATAACTCAAAAAGAACTGAATCATATACATTTAAAATTATGCTGTCTAACACTCGAAGAATACATACAAAGTTAAATGATAGATCTCTTTTAGATCACAGAATTCCTTATAAAATAAATAAATAAATGGATAAGGAAAAAAAACAAGCGTATGAAATACTTTGACCATTTTAACACTAAAAAAATACGACGTAAAAGTGTATTCAACAAGTTTTACGAGTTCACATGTTTCGATCAATATAATGAAAGCTTGTAAAAATGCTTGCCAAAGTTTTTTAGCTTAGACTATGGTATAAGTAACAGTTAAATTAAAAATATACCAGAAAAAATACTCACGCATATGAGCCGTAGACTGCTTTAACTGATTATTGATCTTAGCGTTACTCCCTAAAAACAAAAATTATGCAAAAATAATTAATTTATATTTATATTAATTTTATTGAAATACATTCATTTAAAAAAATATATTGAGTATTGTTTTATTACACAGCTATGTAGTAGCTCTTTTGATGGTGAAAATAGAAAAAACTATCACTTATGCAATCCTTTCAAATTAAATTCAATCTTTTTAAGAATGAAATAAATGAACAATATTAAATAGTAATTTGTATGTTTGTTCAACATATAAATTTTTTTCCCAAGCAGAAGTATTTGTTAAGTACTGACAACGGATAAAGTATTGGACCAATACTGACATGATACAAAATGGTTACACAAAATCTCCAGTACAGAAAAACGTTATCAACTAACTTAGTTATATAAAAGTATTGAGCCAATAATGGTAGCTGCCTGTGCCAAAACTAAAACAAAAATAATAATACTGTAAAGAGCTTATAAAATTCCTTAAATTAGCTAACAATAATTAGTATAAAATAATTATGATAATAAATTCATTGGATTAACAACAAAAGGAGATACCTAGCCAACTTCCCCAAGGCGTAACAAAAAATCCGACCCTGAGACTTTTAGGATTATAAAATGTTAAAAACGCATTAATGCTATTTGTAATTTATGTTCTTATGTATATGCATATAAGTTTTTTAAACAAGAAATTTTTTTTAGTATAAGCTGAAATTTATATTTACTGAACAGACAATTTTAAGTGGGTATCAAATAAAAATTGCCTCGAAGCACTGATACTCTTAATATGCCACTGAGTATATTATTTACAATATTAGACGTTTATTATTGAAAGTATTTCTTTTTTAATTTTTTTCTAAAATTAAAATCATTTATTAAATTTAAATTGGGTATTTTTAACACAATTTTAACTGCGTAATTATCTACAACATTAAACTATAATTTATAATCGTACCAGGCTTCATAAGATTAACTCAATACAAGTGCCAGATCATACCGAATTTTCTTTTTCAGCTTAGGCTAATACACAAAACACCCACTGCTCAAAAATGTATATATATATATATATCCAAAAACTTTGGGAATAGACTTAAGAAAGACCAAAGTCTGAGCCGCTTCGTTTAATTGAAATTCACTTCTGGTAAATGTACCGGAATAATACACTTGAAACAAACTGATGTAAACGTGGTCTTCACAACGAAACAAACGTTCAATTATTTGAGTTAGACTCTGCTAAATTTATAAAAGACAAGAATAGTAAAAGTTAAAAAAAAAACAAATTAATAAGAAACCGTCTATATTCGTATGTTTAATGATGACGCAATGCGTAGAGAAACTTTAAGCAAGCAACGGTAAAACAGCAACCTAATAAAAAAGGATGTTTCATAAAATTCTTACAAGAAAAAAACTAAAGAGTTAAAGAAGGGCACGTTTAAACGTCAACAGTAAATTTAATTTGAAGTATTTGATGGACACGCGACTAGGAGATTCTCTGTTCCATTACACTCATACGAGGATTGAAAAACGCGTGTAGACTTACTTATTTTTTTAGCTCAAAAAGAAAGAAATTAACTTTTACGACTCGGTACCCATTGTAATGAAACGAGCTGTTAAAATTCGTGACAGGCGAAGAGAACAAAATTCAATTACGAATCCAAAATCGAGGTCGATAACATTAGAGGTGGAAAGATTATTTTTATCATTACGATCGCTATCATCTCTATAGTTAGTAAATAGTTTTTTACGATGCAGAAGTTGTGCATTTGAAATGAAAACATTCATAATGCAGTACTTAACTATTCAAAAGTTTTAACGGCAAATTATTCATAATTGTATAGTCTACAGAAAATTAAAAATTAAAAGTAAACAGTTAAAAATAGTACCACCAGTTAAATAAAAGGTATACATACATTTCAAATATTCAAATACTTATAAGCTTATATATTTATCTTTAGAAAGTTGTGTAATTTTAAATAGTCTTAATTTTTAAGTGGGTATTCACGGCGAAATGATTAGACGAAATTACTACATATATGCATACTTTTAAGAGAATACAGTTAATTTTAATGTACATAAAAATCAATATGTCTACAAATTATTTCTTTTAAATAGCTTATTCAAATTTTTCTTGGCTTACTAATCAATATAAATGACAAGAACAAAACTTACAGTCGTTATACTTATTTTACTCCATTTATGTATTAATAAATACTTGGATATTTAAAACAAATAAAAACTATTTTCATTGACTCAAAACATTCTAACCAAATTAATTTTTATCATAAAACTAAAAATAAAATAATAATATTTTACAAAAAAAAAAAATCACGATTTTCTACTAATACATTTGTTTTTAGGATATACTAAATTTAAGTACAAGTTTTTACTTTTTTCAACTTGCGTATAGTTTAAATGTATTTACCTTTTTTATCTTTTGTCTACACCCGTAACTGTTTCCCAATAAAACATAACATGTCAACTAAGTACTAAATGCGGTTGAACAATAACAACCAACCGTATAATTCATGGTTTATATAACTTGAAAAAATGTTTTTTGTTTACTGATCAACAAAGGATATAATGGGATAGTATAAATTATAGTACATGTCATCTGGATATTTTTAATCACACAACCTGTCATATTTTAGAGTAAACGATAACTGATATAAAACAAAAATGTAACATTGTTTGATGGGAACTTAATCTTTATATTATGATTAAATAAATGTCCTAATCAGAAATTAATAACAGGCGCAGTACTGCACTAGTACGGTCAGTTCTGTCACAGTTGCAGCTCTCAGTACAGGAAATTTTGTATTACACTAGTACTGACTTTCAATACTGGATCAACACTTAGACAATACACCAGCCAGTATTACGCTAATACGATTTGGCCATTGGCCAGTTACCAGTACTGGTACAAACATTTCTATTTGAATGTTTTTTTTATCTTTTGAATAAATTATAAGGGATAAAGAATAACAAAAATACTTCATGATTCATAAATTAAGAAAAACATGTATCTAAAAGAAACCAAAAAAAAATTAATAATACTATTTTAATTAATTAAAAAATTGATTCATTCATTAATAACCCTGAGGGCCGCCTCTAGAGGGGCCACTGGTTGCAAGTACCTCAGGCGGCAAGTTTTAATGGCGGCACAGTATTATGAATAAATATAAATTGTAGAATTAAACAAATTTTTTTTGTTTCATAAATAGCGAAAAAAATGTTCGATAAACAAAATAAAAAGATCAAATTGAGTTTCTGGGCGACATTCTAATTCCTAAATGTTACACTGGTGTACCTGTATAATTATATATATTATTATATAATAATATGAAAAAAAAATCAAAGCAAAGACAACATCACTATGTAATTTTTATATAAATTGTTGTATAATAATTCAAATTATAATAACTATATTTAATATTTTATCAACTCCTGTCAAAATGAGAATGAGCATAAATAATCAGACTCCACTTAAAATCATGGAAATGATCTCGCCAATAATTTTTTCAAAGTCAAGTTTTCAAAATCTTATGTTAAAAAAAAAGTTGAAAATCGGAGCACACTACGTATTTTTTACAACAAATAGTTTTTACCTTTTTATTTTATAAAAAAAAAAAGTGTTACTTTTTTCTATGTTCTTATTTCGTTACAACATATATTGTCCGTGGTTGAATTGATGACTAATATCAAGTCAAACAATTTGGATACTTTAAAAGAAACTTGTTGCTCTTAAACTTATTTAAAAAATTATTGACATTTTTAATAATAATTAAATCTTTATAATAAAACATTAAATATACTAAGGAAATATTTGAATAAGATAAAAACAGTAATGTTTTTTTTTTTTAACGATATTTTAGAATCAAAGCATTCAGAGAATTTTGTATATAATTGTTCCATGTATTGCGTTTATTGAAAATATTTTCAACTATTTATTTACTAAATAAATACATATAATAAATAAAGAAATAAGAAGCAAAGAAATCGTTAGAGTAAACTTTGTTCTCTTTTAATTGACTACACAGAATATATCAACAAAATAATATAAAATATGACAAAAAAGAAAATAAACAAGTAACTTCCCACAATATTTAAATATCCAATATTTAACAAAAAAATACCAGTTCTATTTATTTTATATGAAAAAGCAATGACTTGTACGTTTATGAGACTTTTTCATATACCTGTAACAACAGAGAAAAGAAACTTATGTAAAGTTGAACTGTTAAGGGCTAAAATTCGACCTTATAGTGCAATCAAGGAACTAGATAGTACACTCGAGACTATACTTTTATATAGTATTCACTACAGTAATTTCTTAAAAGACATACGAGTAAGAACTATGACAACAACTTCTTCACATTTCAGCTAGTTGTTAAACTTTTATTTAACGTTTCCTGAAATTAAGATTTTCAGCCTTTTATCTTAATCGCACACCTATAAAATTATTTTTAAACCATTTACATTAATACAATCATTATACAATACTTAAATATTATGGTTCACACTTTAAGCTGACATTAGTCAGCTACGAAACTATGACTTTGAAAAATCGATACAACATGACCACTGCTGTTATTGTTATCACCAAAACGACAATTTATTTACGAAATGTCGCTGCTATTGACTTGACTATTTAGAGGTGGATAATAAATGGATTGTAGTCATGTTATCATCAATATAAAAGCGTGTCCGTTCAACAACAGCTTTGGTCGAGATAAATCCGTTCGGTCAAAGGAGTTCAACGAGAGAGAACTTTATTTATTATTATACTGCGTTCCCATTTTCAAAAGTATATCAGAAATGTATGTGTATAAGTTATTAAGGTTATAGGACTTACATTTTTTCTTTTTATCAGATTTATATGAAGTTGTCCATTCTATATTCTACTCAATTTTAAAAACTCTAATAGTTAAAGATTTTTAAATTAAGTTAGAATATAATGAAAATTGAACTGATATGAACTCCATTATATTAAAAATTATGTTTTTTCAATTTCAAAAATATATTTTTTT